GGTCCTCCTCCTCCTCCTCCTCCTCCTCCTCCTCCTCCTCCTCCTCCTCCGCGAAGGTGGCCCCCGACCCAGATCTGAGGAGCAGCCAGAAATCCGAAGCACCTTCCTGAGCGCAGCCCAAGGTGATCCCCATTTCAGCGCAGAGCGGAACTAGTTGTTGTTCGGTTCTAGCTCTACTAATGAAGCGATCTGGCGCCGTCGACGGTTGCCAGATCCAATGATGTGCTGGAGAGCTCTGCAGCCGCCCTCAATCTCGAGATCGCGTCAAAACACACCCGCATGCAGGGGAGGGGGAGAGGGATGCGGGGCCCAAATATATAAACCACCACCGCCTCCTTCACCCCCTCCCTCTCCCAGGAAGAGAAGGGGAGAGAAAGAAGAGGCTGGAGGAGGGGAGGTGACTACCTGAAGGTTGTAGTGGTGGTGGTGGTGTTGTATGTTCTTGGCGCCCGCAAGGGAGGAGAGGGCGAAGGCGGTTCCCAAGAAGGCCCCGGCCCCAGGCAGCAAGAGATGGCTCCGGGAGGCCCCCAGCCCACGCCCGCGGCATCTCGGGGTATCGGGAGAGGACTTTGGGGGAGAGTGGAATTCCTCATCCTCCTCAGATCCTCCTCCTCCTTCTGCTCCCGCTTGGCCGTTGCCTTTTCCTCCTCCTCCTCCTCCTCCTCCTCCTCCTACTTCCTCCTTCCTCCTTCCTCCTTCTTGACACTGCGCCGACTCTGGTAGGGTGCTAGCGTTAGTCCTCTTCCAACCTCTTCCTGCTCCTGCTCCTGCTCCTGCTCCTGCTCCTGCTCCTGCTCCTGCTCCTCCTCCTCCTCCTCCTCCTCCTCCTCCTCCTCCTCCTCCTCCTCCATCTCGGGGAGACAGAGAACGATGCCCGGAGCTGCTCAGGTCTTCAGACCTCTCCGGCCAGGAGCCCAACCCGCCCAAAACAAAAAATCCTTTGGACCACTCCCAGGCAAACCCCCTGCCCAGTTTTCCGAGCTGCCTCCGGCCGCAGCAGTGGCAAGGGGACCAGGAATTCAGGAAGGAACGGCAATCGCTGCGGACAGCGGCTGCGATCGTGTGGATGGGGCCCCGGCCTCGGGACTCTGGTCTGCGTGGACAGCATGCGTGCCAGGCGAGACTCTGAAAAGCTCAGGGTGGGGAGGCCAAAAGGTACCGAAACCGCTACCCCCTAGACCTCTTCCGGGGTGCGTTCTGACCAGGATTTCGAGGCCAATCCAGCGGTTGCGACGAGGGCCTCCCAGGAGGCCGAAAAAGGGAGAAACGGGCGGAGGAGTACAGGTATGGGTACCTCTGCCAATGGGGAGGGAAAAGTCAGGAGATCCTTGAAGTCGGAGACCGCGTTTTGCTCTGATCGGCCTGACCTCGCGGTGTCAGCTCGGCTACGCGCAAAGAGTGGCCCTGGGTACCCATCGGCTGGAAGAAGCAGGTAGAAACACGAAGCAGAAGGCGTTGAACATAGATTGGGTGTCCGCCCACCTCCTGAAGAGGACGGACAAGGTGAAGCCACTCGATCATTGAAGTAGGAAGGCGCTTAAAGCAGACTGGAATCTGAAAATCCAAACATACCTACCTTCAACGACCGCTGGGTTCCCCACTTGTAGTGTTAGGTCGGGCATGTCCCCCTACGGGCGGATTTTGGACGAAAATTAAAAATACCCCCCAAGGCACTCGACAAATACCCAGAAAATGCTAAAAACATCGTCCCTGCATTATTGTTTGACTATGTTTGGATATTCCCCCTTGTAAAGGGATAGGCCCGACTTACCTACTTTCAAAGACCGATGGGCACCCATCTTGTAGCGTAGCGTTTCCCGAGCGGCCTGGCCAGGGAGCGCCCGCCGCGACGCACAGACTAGAAAGGAGTGCTCGGTGCGTACGTCGCCCCTTGGGGGGGGGGGGGCGACGCACACGTAGTACAGTCGGCCTTGATTGGACAGGACACGCGAGAGGACACAAGACCATTCCGAGGGCCACATCGCCATAGGACATAGGAGTGTCAGAAGGCACGTGTCGCGAGGCACAGGACACAAGGGTACTAATCCGGGCCGACTGTTCTAGCTTGTTGGGTAGAAGAAGAAAAAAACAAAACAAAAAAAAACTGTTGGCGCTGCGCGAGGACTTCCTGGATCTGCGCTGGAGCCCCCTCCCTGGCGCGCGGAGCGCGCCAGGGGCGGCTCCAGAGGCGCCGCCAGGGGGGCCCTGCGCGGATCCAAGAAATCCGCGCGGAACGCCAACAGTCTACGTCTACGTGGATTTTTCTTCTTCGATGGGGCGACGCCGAAACCAATGCCGTTTGCCCTCAAACGCCCGCGCTGGGGTCGCCGCCGCGTCGACACGGCGCGAACCTGCCGCGCGGAAGGTCGGGGGCCCCGCTGTGGGTGGGAGGCGCGCCCCCGGGGGGGGGGGGGGGAAGCGAGAGGGGGCGGGCCGTCTCGGCAGGCTCGGAAGGCCTCCGGCCCCCGGAGAAGGCTCCCGAGCCTGCCCCGGAGACACGGGAAGCTTCTCGGCGGGCCCGAGGTCGGCCCGAGGGCCTCTGACCCCGGAGCAGCCCCGCCGCCTGCCGAGGAGTCTCCCGAGCCTGCCCCGGAGGCACGGGAAGCTTCTCGGGAGGCCCGGGGGCCTCCGGAGCAGCCCCGCCGCCCGGGGGCCTGCTCTCACCCCCCGGGCCTCCTCCGCGGCCCCGGGCCCTGGCGCTCCTCGGGGCCACTGCTCACTGCACCAGCCTTGCAGACGTGCTGCAGCGGATCCTTGCGCGGACTTCTGCCCAGAGCGGCGGGCGAAAAACGAAATCAATCTCGCGTGGATGATCGTGGGTCTTCGTTCCTGGCCACAAGAAATCCGCACGGAATTCACCTCGAAATCCGGAACGAGCTTCTCCGGGACAATCGAGGCCCGTCCCACTGTTTTCCCAGCGAAATCCGCTCTGGGACGTGGGCGCCAGGACACTGCCCCAGCGCACGCCTCCACACGGGGTGGTCGGCTCGCTGCCCGGGCGAACACCGGAAACCGCAACGTCGGAGGAGAGCAAGCAGCGCTCGAGGAGCGGGGAAGTGGGGGTACCCTTCTGGACGCCATGACGTTGGACACTCTAACAATCCTACCACTGAACTAAACATGTGTTTAAAATGCGTAAGACATGTTCAAACAATGCCTCCAACATGTTTTTAATATTAGAACATGTTTGAGACATGTCTGGGGCATCTGGAAACTATTTGGCAGCACGCTTCCTCTCCACTCACTGACTTCCACAAGGGTACCCACGAGCGGCCGACGTGCCCAGGTCCACGCCCTTCGACGCCGCAGCGAGGCCGGAGGCCCAGCGAGCGGGCCGAAGGTCGGCCCCTCTCCGCCGCCCGTGCCGCTGCGGCTGCCGGCAGACCGGTCGGCCGAGGTTGAGCAGGTGATCCGTCCACGCGCCGGGAAGGAGGAGGAAGTAGGGAGGGAGGGAGAGGAGACGGAGGGAGGGTAGAGAGCTCACAAGGATTGGGGGGGACAACTTCTGCCCCCCCCCCCCGTTCCACGCCAGTGGATCTTCACGAGGCTCCAGACACTGGATTCCTTATGCAAGGCCTCCACGGTCTGCTAGCGGGATGGGTGTGTTGACCGCCCCCGAGGGGGGCCACTGATGACCTTTTCGTGACCTCTCGGAGAGCCTTCGGAGATGGAATCCACGTCCTCGCGGCCTGAGCTCGGGGGCGCGAGCCCGTGGATGCGGGGTCGCGTGGATGCGAGGCGGGGGTTTATCCAGATCCACCGCCTGGGAGCCGACGTCGCGATGGCCCGGCGGGCGGGGGATATGGACATATTTCGGCCCCCAGGGGTCCGATTATGTCCATGCCCACCGCCTTCCGAGGCTCCGAAAATCGATCCTCCAGGCGGTGGTCATGTATAAATTCCCGCCTCGGAGTGGATGCGCTCCGCGCGGGAGGCGTGCGCGAAACAGCGCCCCGCAACCACGGCGTCGCGGCGGCCCGGGGGCTGGGGCCGCCAGGCCGAGGATGCGGACATGCTTTCCGCTCGCGGGCCGCCGACGTCGTCGCTACTCTGAGGGGAACGATACAGCATTCGGCCTGAGCTAAGGAACGATCAATAAGGAACGAAGCTCTTTTCTTTCAAATAGGAAATCCGAAGGAACACCAGGGGGCTCGCCGCCAAAAAGGTAGCTGAACGCATGCAAACCAAAGGAACGACCGAGGCCCTTTGTAAAATAAGTGTTCCTCAGTCAAGCCAGACCCTGTAGGGTTAGGTCGGGCATGTCCTCCTGCAGGCGGATTTTGGACCAAAAATAAAACATGCTCAACAATTATGCAGGCGGATGTTGGACGACAAATAAAGCATACTCAACAGAAATATAACATACTCAACAACATGAAATAAACAAACACACTCAACAAATAAAACGTATATAGAGAAATCGTCCCCTTACGATTTTGCCATATTTTGCTACATTGGAATATTCCTCCCGTGGAGCGCCATGCCCGACCAAGCGCTGCTCTGAGGGGAACGATCGGGGGGGGGGGGGGCGGACGGGCTCGGGGGAGGGGGAGGAGTATCGTTTAATCGATCCCTATCCCCAGCGGCGTGGACTGGGCCCCACTTGCCGATTTACCCTCCTAGATGGGGATATAGGTCGTTCCCTTCGGGTTTCGAGGGGTGTATACCCAACTGGTGGGGGTCTCGAAGGGGATGGGGATGGGGATGGGGATTGGTTAAACGATACTGGGGGGGGAGGGCCGATGAGCATGGGGGGGCCAGGCGATTGGGGGGCGAGGCTGCGAATCTGGAAATGCTCCCCCAGACACGATCGCCTCGTAACAAGATCAGGACGGCAAGTGTTTCGCTCTTTTCGGCCCCTGGGAACCCTCGCCGGGCCCCAAGAGCGTACAAAAAACGACTCAGAATGAAAAACTGGGGAAAGGGCCTGGACGTCGCATGTCTGGGCCTCGCCCACGAGGCACGGATGCAACGAACGGGGCGACTGGGTGCGGGGGAGGCGGCCGCGGCGTCCTCGTCCGGCGCAACGGCGCCGCTCTCTCGGAGCTGCCGTAGCATCGCCAACCGCTCTGCCTCGGGCATGTCGCCTTTGCTGTCCGCCAGGATGGAGTACCTCGCCAGGTAGGGGGGGCATGCTCCTCCGTCTTCCCCCTTCCTCGTCTTCACTTCCTCCTTCCTCCTCCTCCTCCTGCTCCTCCTCCTCCTCCTCATCATCATCAGCATCATCACCACCACCACCACCACCATCATCATCATCATCATCATCATCACCACCACCACCACCACCACCACCATCATCATCATCATCATCATCATCATCATCAGAATCACCATCATCAACATCATCATCAGCAGCACCACCACCACAACCATCATCATCAACATCAGCATCAGCATCAGCAGCATCATCAGCATCATCATCAGCAGCATCAGCATCACCATCATCAGCAGCAGCATCAGCATCAGCATCAGCATCGTCATCATCATGATCATAGACACAGTCATCATCAGCATCATCATCATCATCATCATCATCATCATCATCAGCATCATCATCATCATCATCATCATCATCATCATCATCTCATCATCATCATCATCATCATCATCATCATCATCATCATATCATCATCATAGCAGCAGCAGCATCAGCAGGGCAGTCATCATCATCAGCATCATCAGCATCACCATGACCAGGACAAGCAGCACTTCACGCAGCAGCATCAGCTCAGCATCAGCATCAGCATCAGCATCAGCATCAGCATCAGCATCATCATCATCATCATCATCATCATCATCATCATCATCATCATCATCATCATCATCATCATCATCATCATCATCCTATTCCTCCTCCTCCTCTTCTTCCTCTTCCTCCTCCTGTTCCTCCTCCTCCTCCTCATCGTCCTGGCTCGCCGAATCGCATGACAGCGACAGCGGCAGGGGGACCGCGCGACGCGCAGCTTGTGAGTGAAAGTGGCTGTGCTGTGTCAGCGAGGCGCATGTTTCGTCTTCGCTGCGTACATCGAGAATGTTGACGCTCCCGCCCCTGCGCGGCCCGCAGAGTTTTCTCTTCCCCAGATCGTCGGAAGCGGGAGCGAGCGCGAGCGCCTTTCGCGAGGTGGGAGCGTGTTCGAATCCCACTACCAAGTTGTGCCATAATCGATTAGTTTATTGTGGGCGGGAGTGTGGGAGTCGGCGATCCCCTCTGACTCGCTCGACCTGGTTAACTTGACCTCCTTCCCCTCCTCCTCCTCCTCCTTCCTCCTCCTCCTCCGCCGCCGCCGCCGAAGCCGCCGCCGCCGCTCCTCTTCCTCGTCCTCCTCCTCCTCCTCCTCCTCCTCCTCCTCCTCCTGCTCCGTCTCCTCCCCCGAATTGTGCTGTGCCTCCTCCCCCTCTCCTCCTCTGCCTCCTCCACCTGCTCCACCTCCTCCTCCTCCTCCTCCCTCCCTCCCTCCCCCTCCCTCCCTCCCTCCCTCCCTCTCCCCTCCTCCTCCTCTCCTCCTGCCTCCTCCTCCTCCTCCTCCTCCTCCTCCTTCCTTCCTCCTTCCTCCTTCCTCCTCCATCCTCCTTCCTCCTTCCTCCTTCCTCCTTCCTCCTTCCTCCTTCCTCCTTCCTCCTTTCTCCTCCTCCTCCTCCTCCTCCTCCTCCTCCTCCTCCTCCACCCCCTCCTCCTCCGGATCCTCATCCTCCTCAGGACCCCAATGAAGTCCTCAGAGGGCCCAGCGGACCACACCCCCACGACTGCGCCGCGTCAGCTGCAAAAAAAAATCGCGCGGCCGCAGACCTGGGCCTGTGCCGGCCACCCCCACGGCCCGCGCCGGCAAGAAACGGCCCTCGTGCGACCACGAGCAGCGCCAGGACTAGGAGGATCAGGAGGAGGCGGAGGCGGAGGAGGAGGAGGAGGAGGAGGAGGAGTTGCCAGCAAGCTACGCAAGCGCGTGGCACATCACATGGTCCGAGCTGCCGTGCAGGCCTCCACCGCTTGCGGGTCGGGGGTGACGGGCAGCTCGGAGACCGAGCTTCGACAGGCCAGATTTTTGCAGGCCAGCGTCCAATGTCAGCGCCTGCACGGGCGCAGCCTCACCCTACTTTTGCAGATGCTAGGGGCTCGGCAGCTCGACCCCCGCGTACGCTTTGAGTATCGCGCCCCTCCTCCACCTCGCCACCGCGGTCTGGGTGTCCTGGGTCCCGCGGGGCGTCGTCGTGGCTGGCCTCCAAGGGGCCTGCCGCGCCCTGGAAGGGAACTCCTCGCCCTGGAAAGCCGTCCGTGGTCCTTTCTCCGCGTGCGTGGCCACGGCCAAGAGGCTGGGCATCAGCATCGACGGCCTACGATGGTACCATCCTGTCGTCGGCTATTCCTCGCTGACGGAGCTGTGTCCTCGCACGATCGTGCTTGCGCTGACGCGCGTCGTGGATGCTTGGTGTTGGCGCAGAGTAGCCGAGCATCTCGACCAGCCTGCCTTTCAGCGCGGGCCCTTCCTGGCCCAATTTTTTTCGGGCATGCGAGCGCTCACTGCCCAGGAAAAAGCGTACATCGTCTCCGTCGTCTCGGGAGGTCAGTGGCCGCAGGCGCGGCAAGCGGAGTGCAGGCTCTCTGAATCGACAGTGTGCCAGGTTTGCCACGAGTCGCCTGGCACTCTACTGCACAGGCACCTCGCGTGCCCTGGTCACGAGCAGGTCTTCGGTCTCGAAACCCCGCCCGTGGCCGCCTCCCTCCTCCGTGCCAGCGACAGCTCTCCCGTCCGCCTCCTTGCCGAGAGGCTGCTGTTGCCGCTGCCTGCTCCTCCTCCCCCCTCGCCTCCTTCTCCCGCGGAGGTCTGGGTGAAAGGAGACCCCAGCATGCTGGACGGCGATGTTTCTCTCGACGGGAGTCTCCTCGACGGAGAGCTCCCCCCCGCTGCCCAGTCCCTCGCCTGGGCCTGTGTCGCTCTCCAGGATGATCGGCCCACGGCGGCCGCTGTCGTTGCTGGTGGCCTCCCCGCGGGAATGTATGACATCGGTGCATGCGAGCTCTGGGCCTTCCTCATGGCCCTCCGTCTGTCTGGCCCCGGCGCCACCTTCTGGACCGATTCTCAGTTCGTGTTTGGAGGAGTCTGGCTGCGGGGGAAAGCTGTTTGTTGCTCGGCCAAGTCGGCCTGGGCTGATATCTGGATCCAGGTGTGGGCCTGCCTCGAAGATCGGGGGGGGGGTGACTGTCTGCGTTTGCACAAGGTCAAGGCCCACACCTCACGCGGCGACCGCGAGCGAGGTGCCATCCCCGAGCGCCAGCGCGCAGGCAACCAGCTTGCAGACGCCGCTGCGAAGGAGGCTGCCGCCTACTCCCGAGTGTCGTCGGAGTACCGTCTCAGATTTAAGGCCCAGGCCAAGGTTATAAAGTTTCTCACCATCTGGACTGGCCGTATAGGCCTCAAGATGGCCGACATCGATGCGGAGCACGTTCCTCCTGGGAGGCGCAGGCTGCCGCCGCGTAAGGAAGCCTGTGTCGTGCTGCCGCCAGAGGTTGTTGTCCCGCCCGTCATTTCCAGGGCCGACGTCGCCCTCGCCGCTCTGGCCCGCGGTGGGCACGTCACCCATCGTGCTTTCCCCATCTCCCTGGCCAATGGGGCGAAGGGGATTGTCTGTGCAGTGTGCGGTGCTGGAGGCGTTACCCTCCAGGCCTCGTTCCGAGAAGCCTGCACCCAGACGCCCACCGCCTGGGGTAGCCGTGTCTTGAGGTGCCTGGCCCAGGGCCGCTACAAAATGGGACGGGACTGGGTCCCGCTCGTCGAGCCGTGGCGGCCCCGTGACCTCGTCGAGAGTGGCCAGGCACTTCGTCCGCTTTAAGTTTTGAGAGGGGGGGCCCTGTCGCTGGCCCCTGCCAGGGCTGTCATCCCCTGGCAGGGTGACAAAAAGGTCTCGCTCCGATGGGCACCCCCTCCAGTTTTGCCAGGATCGAGGGACCTCCCCCCTTCTTCCTTTGGTCAGTGCGCAGGAGGAGGAAGACGAGAGGAGGAGGAGGAGGAGGAGGAGGAGGAGGAGGAGGAGGAGGGAGGAGGAGGAGGAGGAGGGAGGGAGGGGAGGAGGAGGAGGAGGAGGAGGAGGGCGGCGGAGGGGGGGGAGGAGGAGCACGGGAGCGGCCCCTCCTGGCCACGGCGAGCATCAGGCCAGGAGGGGGCTACCCGAGGCCCGGGTCTCTGGAGCGTATCCCGAGAAAGAGAGCCCGTCGTCCTAGTCCTCGTCCTCGTCGTCGTCCTCCTCCTCCTCGTCGTCGTCGTCGTCGTCCTCCTCGTCGTCGTCGTCGTCGTCGTCGTCGTCGTCGTCGTCGTCAACGCACCTCAACCTCCCGAGCCCCGTGTGGCCCGCACCTCAGCGACCCGACGGCACAGGCCGCCGAGGCTCCGCGCCCGCCGCGCCCCCGCGCGCCCCCGCGGCGCGCGCTTCACCTCCGCGCCGGCGCGCCTTCCGAGAAGGCGACGGTGATGGGCCTGTTTTCCACCACCACCACCACCATGAGTTGGAGGGGAAGGGGGTCCTCCTCCTCCTCCTCCTCCTCCTCCTCCTCCTCCTCCTATCGCTCCCTCCTCTCCTCTTCCTCCTCACCTCCTCTACTCCTCCTCCTCCTCCTCCTCCTCCTCCTCCTTCCCCCCTCCAACTTATCATAAGTTGGAGGGGGGAAGGAGGAGGAGGAGGAGGAGGAGGAGGAGGTCTGTTTTCCACCACCACTACCATAAGTTATGGTAGTGCTGGTGGAAAACAGACCCATCAGACGGGGCTCCTCAAAGCCCCCTGGCCTTCTGAGAGCTCTCCGCGGCTTCGGAGAAGGGCTGGACCTGAATGCTGTTGTTCGTCATGTGTTCGTTATGTTGCTCGTTTGACTCTGCTGTTTTCTTGTGCCTCCCTGCCAAAACGAAAAGCAAAACACGGCCCGAGTCCAGCAACACAGCGTTTAGGTCCAGCCCTCCTCCAGAGAAGGCCTGGAGAGCTTCTCAGAAGGCTGGAGACCTCCTGAGCCTTCTGGAGAGGCCCGACCCCTGAGCGCGCCGCCAAGAGGCGCGGAACCACGCGCGGGCAGTCCCCAACCACGCTGCACTGGTCTCTGGCAAAGGTGACAAGCATGGGACCGAGCGGGAGAGGCCTGGTGGCGTTCCTTCGGTCCGACACCCTCTTCCTTCCCCTACCCCTCCTCCACCGTCCCCCCCTCCCTCCAACCTGATCCCTGAGCATCCTTTCCTCCTCCTCCACCTCCTCCTCCTGCTCCTCCTCCCTACACTCATCCTCCCCCGACTGCTCCCCACCCCACCCTCCTGACCCCAGCCCCCATGGCCTCATGTTGCGGGCGAAGTTGTGCATGAACTGCTGCATGACCTCGGGGGACAGGCTGACCCAGCTCCTCCTCCTCCTCCTCCTCCTCCTCTTCCTCCTCCTCTCATGCCCACCCCCCTTCCCATCCCCATCTCGATCTGTTATGTCTCCCTCGTCCCTCTTGCCTCATCCAACGTCTATCCTTGATCCCTGTCGACCTCGTAGATCCTTCCCTCTCATTCCGCCCATTATTCGTCTCAAACCATATAACTGATGCAGCGTGCTCCCTCTGTCTCTCTCTCTCTCTCTCTCGCATTTTCTCTTCCTCCCTCTCTCCCTCTCTCTCCCTCTCTTTAGAAGTATACCGATGTAAGCATATATATATATATACATATATGTATGTATATATATGTATATATAGGAAGGTATATATATAGATGTATATATATATATATGTATATGTATACATATGTGTATGTATGTAAAGATATGCACATGTATATCCTCAGTCTCAGACTGCACTCCACCTCTGTCCTCCTCAGCAATTACTCATCATCTTCGCACGTGTTCTCCAATTCCTCGTCATCCTCGTTCGCCATGTTCTACTCATTCGCTTTCTCATCGTCCTCCTTCATGCTGTCCTCCTCCCTTCTCATCCTCATCATCCGATTCTTCATACTGCTTCACCTGTTCCCTGTTCCTGCTACAACTGCTGCTACCACTGCTGCTACCACAGCTGCTACAACTGCTGCAAATTGTCCTCCTCTTTCTCCTCTTCCTCCTCCTCCTCCTGCTTCTCTTCCTCCTCCTCCTCCTCCTCCTCCTCGTTTAACCTCCTTCCTCCTCCTTCTCCTCATCCTCATCCATATGCTCTTCATCATCCCAAGGAGGACAAACGGCTACCGATATCGCCGATACCGCTACTCCCAAGACCTCTCCTGGGGTGCATTCTGACCAAGATTTCGAGGCGAATCCAGCCGCGGCGACGAGGAAAGGGAAGCGGTATCCGGTATCGGTACGAGTTCCTCCTCATCGTACTCCTCTTCATCACCCCTCCTCCTCCTCCTGCTCCTCCTCCTCCTCCTCGTCCTGCTCCTCCTCCTCCTCCACCTCCTCCTCCTCCTCCTCCTCCCTCCTCCTCCTTCCTCGTGAACTCGTGGGACGCGCTAGCCTTCTCCAAAGGTCTGGACCCCTTCCTCGGCGCCGGCGTCTCATCCTAAGTCCTCGTCTGACGGTCCCAGAGTCCGGGTAAGGGCACCCAGAGGCCGAAAACTGTTCAAAATCTATCGGCGGCGCACCTTCTAAGAAGCAGGGGTGTTTCTAAGAAGCACTCCCCCCTCCCCCATACCTCCCTCTGCGCGTGGCCGACAGCCCAGGAGGGAAGTGAGAAGGGGCGGGCCTTCGCAGAAGGCTCGGAAGTCCCCCGGCCTTCTGAGAAATTGTCCAAGACCTCCCGAAGACACGGAAAACTTCTCAGAAGGCCGTAGGGCTCCTGAGAAGTCCCGCCGCCTTCTGAGAAGGCCTTTTCCCTCTCACTTCCCCTTCCCCCCCTCGCTCGCCGACGAATGTGGTTTTCGGGTCATATATCGGGTCTCCGGCGGGCGTTGGAACGCCTTCGGTCAGGCGCAGCTGCTGGCAAGCATCGCGAGGCTGGAAAGCCGCCGGAAACCGCCCGAAAAAAAAAAAACTCGAGCCTCGAACCCGAAACTTCCCCCTCACTCGCCGCCGATCTTACGTCGTCGGAAGTGACCTCGTGGGACGCGCTGGCCCTCTTCTCCACAGCCTGGCGCTCGATGGCCAGCACCTTCTCGCGGCTGAGCCGCGGGTGCGGGCGCGGGGGGTCCAGGGCGTCCTCGTCGTCGTCCTGGCGCACCGCCGCGGGCGCTGGCGAGGGGAAGCCCGAGGTGCCAGGAAGCTTTGAGGTTCGAGGCATTCGAAGTCTCTCGTCGGTTCTCGACGGTCTTCCAACCTCGAAGGGCGAGGAAGTTTCGAGGTGCGAGGTTTTAGACAAATTTCGTCGGCTCTCGGCGGCTTTCCAGCCTCGGAATACTTTCCAGCAGCTGCGCCTCCCCGAAAGGCCTGCAGGGATGCCGGGGGATCGTCCCGAACGGCCGCCAGAAGCACCATGACCCGGAAACCACCAGGAGACTAGCTCAGAGAGTAAGGAGCAACGATATGGGGGGAGTGACTGGCAGAGTGGGACGAAACATCGACCGGGAATCGGCGATACATCACCGACGGACCCGCGCTAATGCATCCACACGTGCCTTGGCAGGCTGGGCGATCGAGCCCATCGTGGCGATCCACGGGCGATCGGGTTTGGGTGCGTCCCCCCTGTGCCTATCCCCCCCGACCGTTGCCTCTTCGAGCAGGGGATCGATCGACTACAAAACTGATCTACCCCGGACTTGATTTTTCTCGTCGAAACCACTGAACGGCCGCTGACGCTTCGCAGATGGACGAAGATGATACATCTTCGCGTTGAAAATTCGACGCGGAAATTAATTCTGGGGCCCATCATCTCTACTCGATCCGCAGTCATCCACCCGGGATCGGCGACGCCTCGTCGATGGACCCGACTCCTCGGACCGACAGCACCACTGCCGCCGAGCGGACCCTCGGGAGTCGGATGGCCCAAATCGCTCGGGGCGGCGTCGCGGCTGAGGCGCGTCATGCCTGCGCGTCCGAAGCCACCCGGCCCTCGAAACAATGAAGGCGAATTGGAAACGACTACGACTTCGGCCTCGTTTTATCTTTCCAGGATGAGCCGGGCAATGCGGTGGCCTTGCTCGACCAAGTGAGTCGGCGGACTGGCGTTGTGCACCGCGGTGCCGCAGCAGTCGGGGTCCACCACGCAGCTGGCGATGTCGATGAACCTGGGGGCAAGACCTGATCGCGGGGCAACGCGTGCGCACGCGCCCAGCGGCGCCTGTGCTGCCGCGTCTGCGGGTACCAATTCCCGACCAGATGTCGCAGTAGTAGCGTCGGTGAATGCGTGGAGGCGGTAGCCGGCATAGCCGGAGGCGTCGCGCGCAGGCGCTCTCGCATTCGGCATGAGGAGCTGGATCTTCAGCCGTTGAAATTCTCGTCCTTCGGCGTCGCGGAAGTCCTGGCCGCCATTGCCCACCGCCAGCAGCGCGAGCTGCTTGGGCGGCAGGGCACCGGAGGGCGGCTGGAGCTTCGTCGGAATCGTTCCGGCATAAACAAATGCCGGCTCGGCGCCGACTCCAGCTCGTTCTGGGCGGCGCCGGGGCCCCAAGTGATCTCGCAGCCGCCTGGCCCAGGGAAGGTGAGACGTTTGTGTTTCGCGCCTGTCTCCACCATCCCGTCGTTGGACTGCGTGGATTGCACGCCCAACAACGAATTTCCCAGCTCGCTACATGCGACCAGCCGCCTACTCCTGCAGCGCATAGTGGAGATAACAACTTCTCCGCTGAGGGCCGCAGTTCAATTCGCCCGCCGGGCACCCCGGGCCAAAGTCGCGGCGAATCGCATGCCCCAGAGATTGGCCCAGGCGAATCGCCATGCGAGTTCAAGCATGCGCCCGACGAAGTCGGCCACCGCGGGGGCGTCGGCCGGCATGGAGACACACGCAAGTCCACGTGAGCGTCGCAGGGCACTGCTGCATCCACCGCTGGCGCGATGCTAGATGCACTGCCAGGTGATCGCATGAGATCTAGCCGCGGCGTCCTGCAGGGGCTCGGACAGGCCGAGGAGACTGCGCGGTGGCCTGTTGTGGTTTCTCTCTGGCACGCCCCCTTCCGGCGCTGCGCGGGCCGGCGCAGGGCGCCGAACTCGCGGGCGCACGATCTGAATGAGTAGTCGGCGGCGCGCGCGGCGCGCGCTGCGTCGGCGCCGCGGGCGCGCTGGCCTCTCGCCGTGCGCGAGGGCCTCGAGACAGATGGGGCGCTCTGTCGCCGCCAATGAAGGCAGCAACGGCGGGAGGTGCAGCGGGTGCTGCAGTCCGCGCAGGAGGAGAAATAGTAAGGGCTTCTGCCCTGCTTTATGCGGCTTGGCGCTGCCTTTCGTCTTGCTGTCGCAACAGCCCCAGTGCTAGCTGCGCGCCGCGGAGCTCGTCGAGACGTCGTCATTGGGCGCAGTCGAGACCGCGGCCGGCGAACCACGCGGCCACTCTCCCAGACGCCCACGTCTACTGGCAAAGCCAATCCAAAGGGAGACTCCGGCGGCGCGGCCTCTCGGGGGCGGCGGCTCGCGCGCCGAGGCTGCCCGGCCAGTCGCGCCCCCGGGCTTGCCCTCGAAAGGTGGCGCCGCCAACTCGCGCGCCGCAGCGGTGGTGTCGGCGACGCTGCCGAGGCCGTCGGCACCGCGAGCGCAGCCTGTGCCGGCCCCCCCGCGGCCTCCGCGCGGGCCTGCGATGCAGTTGCAGGGCCCGATGGCTGAGCAGAGGCATCCGCACTGCTCGCGAAGTAGGCCATCTAGATCCTGTCGCGGTCGTCGCATGTCGGCGTCGCGCGGATTGGGCGACGACGATGGGAGCGACGCTGCCCCAACCCATCGCGACCGCTGGCCACGGCCAATCTGCTGCCGCGAGCCGCCAGAGGACGAACTCGGAGGGGTGGCCGCTGCTGCCTGCCGCGGCGCCGCCGATGCCGGCGATGGCTGGCCGCCAATTAGCGCCCCGCGCGGGATCGCACTCTCCGGGGCCCGAGGGCATAGATAGCAGAGTTCCATCAGCGCCCCTGGCCATCCAGACCACGCGCGCGCCAATCGAGGGCAGCTGCCGAGCTGGGCTCGGCGGCCGCTGCCGCCCGCTGCGCGCGAGCGGCGCTGGCGCTGGCGGCGGGGCGCAGGCGTCGAGGACGCGAGCGCGCCCTCGGTCACGGCGCCTGGGACAGTCGCGCACGAGGTGTCTTCTGACGCACGTCCGCGGCATTTGAGCTGAACCCCGCCAAGGCCCACGGGGTTGCCTTGCTGGCCCTGAATCTCCGTTCCCCCATATACGCGCCCTTGCCGAACCCCGCGAATGTCTCTCGGAGGTCATTTTCGGACAAGTCGGCCAGGGAGGCGCGGCAGCCTTCATCGTGGCCCTTGCCTTTCCGTCCGACGACCCTCCGGGCGCGGCGCGCAGGGCTGCGGCCGCCGCAGCGTCGCCGACCACGCTGTTCCACGGGAAAGGCGCACAATTCAGGAGTCGTCGGCGGCTGTTTCTCCTTCGCCGAATTAGCTGACGGCGTCGGCATCGGTGCCTGAATCGACGCCCGCCGCTGGGAATGCCTCCTGCGCTGGCGGCGCCGGCGCAAGTGACATCGGCGCCGCCCCCTCGCATGACCCCGGCCGCCCCGGCTCGGCCTGGCCGCAGCGCCGTAGACGCGCCTGAGCTCGCGCGGGCGCACCGGCGAGGAAGGTCCGATGTTGGGCCGAATGGGCCGCTGAGGCGAGTCTGCCGGGCGACCCCGCGACCGCGTGCCCAAATCGTCGCCGTTGACCAGCCGCGCGCGCGAGCTGTGCTGCGTTCGTCGGAAGGGCCGCGCGATACATGTAGCGCTGCAGTATATGGTCACTCGGACGGAGGACACTCCGACCGCGCGCAAGGAGTCGCTGAGACCCTCGTAGCCGATTGCGGGTTGACCAACTTGTTGCGCGCGGTTGCGGAAGATGCCGAAATGCGCGAGGAGGTTGCCGATGCGCTCCGGCGGCAGCCCGGAGTGCAGAGACTGCCGAAGCGTGCCCCGTCGCGCCCAATGTGCCCCGTCGTTCGGCCAAGCTGTGCATCAGGGGGGTCATCGGTGACACTGGGTGCGCCCTCCTTGGAGCAGCGCAGCTGGCGGTCACTCGTCCGCGAACTCACGCGCCATGCTGGCGAGTCGCGACGATGCAAAAACAGCCCGGCGAAACTCAGTGAGGTCTGAATTCGCCACTGACCACATTAGATTTTCACGACCCGCACCCGTCGCTGGACAGGCACTCGTGACTGTTGCTCGGGCCCCCAGGTGCGGAGGTGTCGCGCGTTGCCGCCGCCGCCAGCGCCCGTGCAGGTCAGGCAGCTGGCCACGGCAAGCATGCCTACTCCGATGGCCGTCCAGCTGGAGTGGAGGCCCCCTATGGGTCTAGGAAGCAATGGAGGCTGGTTGCCCAACGACGGCGCTGCTCTGACCGTGAGCCTCGTAACCGCCGTGGGCTCCTGTCCCGGATGCGCTCCTCCTCGTCAGCGAATTGGCCGTTATCTTCCGTCGCGTGGAAATGCCCTTGTTCGTGCGTCGCGTCGTCACAGTACTGAATACCATCAGCTGCACGATCGTCGAAAAGGGTGCGCATCGGAATCTCGTCCTGCCAGGCTGAAGGAAGTGAGTGGGTGCGGCGATAAGTCGCGCCCTAAGAAATCGAAGACAGACCGTCCCAAGTCTGTTTCGCTGTCCGTTGGCGCGCTGGCAACATCATCGCCGAACCTTCCACGGGTTTCCCACTGTTCTGTCGCTCTTCCCAGGGCTTTCGTAACATCATTGCGAGTAGCTCGGGGCACCTGGCCGTAGCCGCTAGTGTCAACGCTGCTTCGATCAACTGATCATTATGCGCGGCCGAATCCCCTTCCGTGGGTATCTCCACTGGTGGGGGGGCGTGGCATTCGAAACCACGAGCGGCTCAACCATAATCTGACCACGTTCCGAGGAAAGTACAGGCGGGAGCGGCAGGGCGCCGCGGTTTTTGTAGCGGTCGATGGCATGGTATTCGTTGAATTGTTGTGGCACGATTTGAGTTTGATGTCGTCGTCCTTGTACGGGTTGTCGTCATACGGTTGCGGCGCCCCCGTTACGAAGGCCGGGAGGATCGCAGCGAATACTGTCCAGCGCGCAGGCAAGCTGGCTGGAGAGGTGGATGCCTTTACCATCGAGGCGGAACGAACGGAGTGCGCCACGCGGGCCATGGCGCCTAGGTGTGGAACGGAACCGAAGCTCCGATACCAACTAAGGAATGAAACATAAACTATGAAACCGATGTTTTGTCCTGAGCGGACGGATGTCTTATACGCAATGCGCGTTCAATACGGGCACGGTCGGTTAACCCACCGTGCCCCAGAAGCCAAGACGGCGGCGGCAAGGGGGGACGATTGAGAGGGCAAAGAGAATGCACTGCTACCGTTCGAGTAAGAGGAGCAGGAGGAGGAGCAGGAGGAGGAGGTCGTCCCCTTCCTTTCCTTCGAAGGCTGGGGAGCGACAGCAACAGCACCGGTCGAGAACCCCTACCCCCGGCGGCGGCGGGCGCTCGCGGCGGGGCCGCGGGTCCCCGTCGGGCGGCGGCCGCGGGTCGGCCAGCGCGTCCGCGGGCGCGGCGTCGAGGTCGTCCAGCTGGGCGGAAGCGCCTCGATAAGACGCAGGAGGACATACTGCAGCAGGAGCTCGACCACAAGAAACCTTCCACAAAGAAGCACCCAACCCTGAAACCCGAGGCGTCCGTGGACTTCTGGTGGGGGAACGCCACGCCTTCCATAGCAGCACCATCGAAACCCAAGCAACCCAAGGCACCCTGGAGGCAAGCAGGGCGTCTCTTGGAATGGACTTCTGCTGCAATGCCACGTGTTTTCTTGGCGCGTCGTACGTCCGACCAGGTCACACAGTTGGGGGGGGGGCACAAAAGGTGGGGTTGGGGCAAAGGTAAGGAGGGACTGCTGGAATGAAAATCGCTCCGAACGGCCCCCAGAAGAAGGAAACGTTCAACGGGAGCACCCAGCTGGGCCCGCTCCGCAGCCACACCCTGGGATAACCCTCCCTCTACGAACCCCCGATGCTGTTAGGTCGGGCGTGTCCCCCTACAGGCGGAGCCTGGGCGAAAAAATACAAGCTACCCCAAACATACCCCCAAATAGTCGAAAAACCATCTTGAACGAAAATCGTCCCCAGACTAATTCTAGACTGGTTTTTTGGATAAGCCTCCTGTAGAGGGACAGGCCCGACGTAACCCCAGACATGATCGCGTCGTAAAAAATTCAGGACGGAGGTTTTTCGCTAGTTTAGGCCTCCAGAAGCCCTCGCCGCGCCCTGGGACCATCAAAAAACGACTCAGGATGAAAAACCGGCCCCAGGGAAAGGGTCGGGACTTCCGGGGACGCCGTCCTGAAAAAATCAGGACGTCGCATGTCTGGGACGACACCGTGCAGCCGAGCCGTGGCACACCTCGATGCCCCAGCGGCAGGGGCCAGAGGGCGCCCGCCGCCGCGCACAGTGCGAAGAGGACTTCTTGGGCGCGCGCGTCGCCCTCTCGGGGGCGCGGCGCGCACACGCACTCTTGGCCCAGCGATGGCGGAGCCCAGTGGCACGACACGACAGACGAACGACGGACGACAGACGAGGACGACGGGGGAGGCGCAGGGGGCGAGGGCGGGAGAAAGGAAGGGGGGGGAAGGGCGGCGCGCCGGCCCGCGCCCGGCCCGGCCAGCCCGCGCCCGGCCCGGGGGGGAGGGGCGACGCGCACACACAGTCTTGGGCACTTGGAGGGGCCCTGGGACACACAAAGAAATACACACAAATGACAGGGTTACCCATATTCTCCCATACCTTCTGGATGTGTGTCTTCCCCCCCCCACTTCCAATACTTTCCCATGTTTTCCTGGGGATCGACGATGAGTTGTGCCTGTGTGTTCTGTCCCCTCCTCAATACTGCATCTCGCTGGCACGAAGTCACACGAGCACGCGATGAGAGAGCATTCGCCGAGTACTGCATTCACGCGCGAGGACCGCCTTCCTCCCTCCTCCCCCTCTCGGAGGCACAGCGCTTGCTCTCCCATGCGCGCGCGCACGCTTAGCCCTGTGCGCTTTAGCCTCGCCCGTTTGCGGGCCAGCCCTCGTGTCTGTCTGTCTGCACGCATAATACTAGCATGATTTGGGTGGCGCCGACGTCGAGGGCGGGTGGGCGGCTCGAAACGGCGGCCGCTCCCCTCCGGGCGTGGCAGTGTCTTCACGCCGGGCGGATGTTCCGAATCTGTCGTAGGTTCTCGTCGTTCCCTGGCGTTTTTGGTTTGCCGCCTCGGGATGCTTCCCAGCGACTGCGCCTCGTCGAGAGCGGTCTGGGGGTGCCAGAATCGTCCCGAACGGCCGCCGCAGGCCCGAGCTACGGCCCGAAAAGCCAGAAACCTCAGACGATCCCTGAGAACTGGGCGTCGCAATTTCTTCACACCGAACGCGCTGGCCCACTTTCGGGTTCCGAGGCCATCATAGATCGAGCTGGCTGGAAGAGTGCCGCAGAAAGATGGGGTCCAGGGCTCTGGTCGTGATTCTTCGCGATGTTCTATTTTTTCCGCGACAGGATCAGTCAGACGCGAATCAGGAGATCGGATCGGTCGTCGGATCGGGCTGCATCGGCACGGAATCGAGTCGGATCGGCCGCGCCAAGATACACTACCCAGCCGTGGGAGCATTGGGCCGCATCGGAGCCGCTAAAAAACGAAATCGGGTCGGATCGGCCTGGCCGGAGTTGCTGTCGAATCGGATCGATCGGATCGAATCGGACGTTGCTTGGACGACGGCAGCTTCCTCCTCCTCCACCTCCTCCTCCTCTTTGCGTTGGCCAGAGGCAACGCCATGCGGCCGCAGCCACTGGAGTCTCTTTGGTGGAGGTCCCGGAGGAGGAGGAGGAGGAGGAGGAGGAGGAGGAAGAGGAGGAGGGGAGGAGGAGGACGGAGGAGGAGGAGGAGGAGGAGGAGGAGGAGGACGGAGGAGGAGGGGAGGAGGACGGAGGAGGATGGAGGAGGAGGAGGGAGGGGA